TTCTTCCTTTTGTGCCCCTTTCTCGAATTTTTTTTTTTTTTTTTTTTTTTGGAGAGGTTTTTTCACTATAGGGTGCGTGCGTTCACCAGACAGACAGACAGAGACATAGAGACAGAAAGCGAGAAATCACCCCCCAGGGGGAATGGTCACGCCGCAATCCCTTCTCCTCCATTCTCCTCTCTGGATCTTGGGCACACACACACATGCGCCCAGCGTGAGTTTAAGTCACCGGGTCCAAGATGCGAACCGCGGTCGACTATGTGGGAGTCCAGCGACATACCCATTACACTAACTGCTGGTTCCCTATGTCTCTAATTCTTCATCAGTATTGGACAATAACCAGCACAGGTGATAGATCTCATCACCCAGAATTCCCATGTCATTTTCACATCCAGTAAAGAAGAAACATTTAGCTCTAATTCAACACTGTCCATATGGCAATTTTGCTTCTGCATAGAGCCAAGAGGATTAAAGTGGTAGAGACTCAAGGCCTGAAATGGAGAAATAAAAAGGAATGAAAATGAAGGAAGAAAGGCCTGTTTTCTGACAACAAATACCATGTCAGATAACCAAGACTGTAATCTTGTTTTTTGATTTATTAGACATGAACACTGAGGAATTTCAATTAATCTCAGTGAGTTTCTGTTTCCTCTGTTGAAAAGAGGTGAAATATTTTCTACCTTACAACATAACCACATAAATGCAAGATATTTTGATACAGCAAGTATTACTTGAGCATCTACTGCTATGGATTAAGATAAAATAGTACTAATTTTCTTATCCAATATCAAAACAATCTTGACAAAAAAGGTCGAAGTAGAAATATTTTCATCTATTTCCTACCAATGCAACTTACCACACTTCGCATTAACCCAAGGCTTCCCCAGGTTACAATTCCAGAAGCACCCAGAGCAACACTTTCACCAATCGTGTTCACAAGATCATCCTGAAAAATGTGATGAAAAGAGAGGAAAAGAATGATACAGCTGAAGTTAGCAGGTAGAAATCGATAAAAGTGCCATACATTGTACAGTAGCACTGAACTTAAGCATGTTGACTCCACAGTAAGTATTTAAATAGTTTTCCACTATTTATTTCTATCTTTTACACAGTTGCTGCCTCACTATAAAAAACTAAATTAAAATTTTAAAAAGACTGTTGTTGCTTTAATTACTTCTATTAAAAAGAGAGCAGGTCAATGAAAGAAAAAATATTCAGTGAATATTTTGTCTATCCTACCTAATTATTCATGGTGCTGATAGATTACATAATTACATTAGAGAAGTTAACATATTCTTGTTTTGCATTAATGTAATTACACAGAACCCCTTGAGTGCATATTGCTAAACGATAGTAGAGATTAAATTTTACTCCCTTAAAAAGTAATAGTTTTTATTACTGGAATTCATTGATCTGTACTATTTTATAGCACTCATGTCTTGAGTCACTTATAAGAGAAAAGTGTGTATTTATCTTTAAAAGGAAAAACAACATTGAAGCAAAGTAAATAGTTTCAGTAAAGTTGATGATTTACTCAAGGAACAAAAACTTCACAAATTCTCAAAGAAAACTTTGAAAATTTTATTCCATGTAGTTTTCTGTTCTGTATATTAAATATATTTCCCCTAAATCTCACGTGCCTTGTTTCAGAATCCACACAAATTTCAGCTTGTTTACATGGCATTACTCATGTAAGAAATACAGTGTTAATTTGACCCAAATTTTACAAGACCTGTGGCTGCTTTAAAGATTTCAAAATAAATACAATGTTGCTCATTAAAAAAAAAAAAGTGATTTTTAAATTCCACTAAACACCATTGGTCTTCACCATTTTATACCCCTCATACTTTGAGTTACTTACCAGAGATAGGAATCTCAAAGTTTTATCAGTGAAAACTAAGCAGGTGTATACAAAAACTGGAAGTGGATTTTTAATATCACGTACTTTAGAAAGCCTGATGGCTTCCTGAACACGATTACGAGCAAAGAATGCAGCCTTTTGAGAAGACCCTAAGTCGCTCTTTAAATAAACGGATGGGAAAAGGGCAGTGCTTTCCTTCCACAACCAGTCAAGACGGTTATTTCTTCTCTTTTCTATATCAAAGCAAGCTCCATTGTAACTGGGGTCACCAAAATTATGATTGTAACAATCCGGGAAAGGGTAATAACCCCATAAGTGATTTGGCCTAAGTAATTTTCCCAATTTTAAAGTCTCTAGCATGAAATTCTTTGCTGCCTTTTCAAAATCTTCTTTGGCTATCTTAGCAATCTTTGAGACATGAACTTGTAAAATTAATGAACTAAATCAATAGACTCATTCTTGTACACATCTTTAGGCTTCCAGTTTCTTTCCCAGGTGGGCCTCCAGTCATCCCAGTCAATGACAGCCAAGCCCAAATTATCTTTTGGCATGTAATGGACAATGTCTATCTTAGCTTTCTCTAAATGTTTTCGTAAGGATGCCCTTTGGGGGATTCCTCCATGCACATTTGTGCCTGTTATGTGATCTATATAGGGGTAGTAACCAAGTCTATCAGTATAAAATATTGTGACACCCTGCCCAGTGGCATCTTTTCGTGGACTTCCTTGTAAAGAGAAGAGGCTCAGATCTAGTGGTTCATTAAGCCTTCCAAAACAAAATTCAGAAGGGACATTCCAGGCCCAGATGAAAGTCGCATTTGGAAGAAAAGGCGGTGCTCTGAAATTCAGAGTCAAGCAACATGGAATCAAAAGGAAGGTGAACACTGTCTGAGATGCTCCACTGGACTTGACAAAGCTCTCAAAAAAGATGTCTTTGAAGCTTATCACCCCCATGGCAGATTAATGACTATGAAAATGATTTATTTCTTCCTATACACTTTGGTTTACTCAATATTTCATTCAAGATGTGGCACGATGAAAGGTAGTGGAATAAAGAAACTTTGATGGATAGAGAGGTATAATTGTTATGCTATAGTTAAATATTTTTCTTCTTATTTCATATTTCAGAAGTGTTTCACAAGTTGCGTAATCTATAACTGAAAAAGAAATACAAAGTATATTGTTAGGCTGCATTTGTGTAACAGATTGTAAGATTTACCAAATTCTCAACTTGTTTATTTTTTAACTGAATTTATCTGAAGAGAGACCTTATCTCTCTACTATTATTCCTAAGGTCTGTACATAATTCCTATCAATTAAAGTCATCCCTTAAGTGTATTTTTATTTATTTATCTATTTATTTTTTGGAGAGTTTTTTTGCTATACGGCACGTGCACTCGCCAGAAAGACAGAGAGAGACAGAAAGTGAGAAATCACTGCCCCCCTTCCCCAGGAGGGATGGCCACACTGTAATTCCTTGTCTTCCATTATCCTCTCAGGACCTTGGGCACACACGCACACACACCCAATGTGTGTTTAAGCCACCGGGTCTGGGACTCAAACCACGGTCTACTACTTGGGAGTTCAGCAACATAGCCATTATGTTAACTGCTAGTCCCTTAAGTGTGTTTTTTTAAGCTACCGGGGCTGGATTCAAACCTTGGTTAGGTGAGTTAGCTGGCTCTCTTAATCACTAGGCTATTGGGCCAGCTCATCGACATTGCTTCTTAAAGCACTCCTCTTAAATCTTTGATATACCCTAAACGCCAACCACAGTGCTTATCCAGAAACCTGACTTAGAAGTTCAATTACCCAGTGGGTCTTCAGGAGTATCAAGCTAAGAAGTGGGATGATCTCAGTGTCTTTCTAGAGCATTGGCAAGTCACTAGCATCCTTTTAGGGGGAAAAAAAAAATCATTTTCTTGGCAGCGTTTGCACCTCATTTCAAGTCCCAGACCTGGAAGCTTGAATATCAGGCCGGATGTGTTTGAATGGATGCCCAAGATCCCAGGAGGAGAATAGAGGAGAAGGGACTGTGGCATGGCCATCCCGCTGGGGGGTGATTTCTCACTTTCCCTCTCACCGTCTCTCTCTCGCACGCGCATGCACGTGCAAGCACACTCTCCGTAAGGCAAAAACCTTTAAAAAAAAATCATTTTCTCTCAAAATAACTTTGGAAGCTTAAGAGCTAAATACATGTAGAATTCCATTTAAATTAAAATCTTATTCCTGTTGTAAAGAAATTAAATCACCTAGGCCAGCAGATGGCATGATGGTTAAGGAGCCGACTCCCAGATGGCTGACTGCAGTTCGTGTCCCAGATACGGTGACTTGAAAATCACACAGGGCACATTTGTGTGCATGCCCAATATCCTTAGAGGAAAGTGGAGGAGAAGGGATTTCAGTGTGACCATCCTCCCTGGGAAATAATTTCTCACTTTCTCTCTGTCTCTCTCCAGCAAGCATACATGCTCTATTGCAAAAAAAAAAAATAGTAATAATAAAATCTAAATAACAAGGAAAGAAATTACATCACCAAACACACGTTAGCAAAATCCTTTCAACCAAGAATAGTTCAAAATTATTTTGTAATAAAAATTATGTAGTGGACCAGCCATGGCCTGATGGTTTAGGAGCTTGGATTCCACCTGACCAACTACATAGTTCAAGTCCTAGACTTGGCAACTTGGAAAAACATACTGGATATGTGTATATTTACTGTTTGAATGCCAGTAAATTTTAGTACCTGTGGCAGAGAAGATTAGCAGATGGTAAATTAACATAAGACTGCTAGAGGCTGGCAGGTGACTTGGTGGTTAAGGCACTGGACTCCCATGTGGCTAACAGCAGTCTGAGTCCCAGACTTAGAGGTATGCTTTCTCACTTTCCTTCTCCCTCTCTCTCGCTTTCTAGTTAGTGCACATGTCCTGTAACAAATTCTTTAAAAAATATTATTTATAATAAATAAAATTAAATAAATAATCTTTTTTTAAAAAATAAGGATACTATAAATGTTTAATTGGCACTTGAAATGAACCCAGTGGTAGAACAAGCCCCCTTGCAGGTGCTTTCATTTCTAAGTATTTTGTTAAATTAGTGACAGATTTAAGTAGTAGAATATAGATGAAGTATAAACTTTAAGACACTGACTTCAAGAATGTATAGCAATTACTATAAAAGTAAAAGTAGTATGTCCTTATAAAATTAATACATCGTAATTAATATTTTTCAGAGTCAGCCCATGGCCTAGTTGTTAAGATGGCTGGGTTCAATATGGCGGACTGTGGAGTTCCAATCTCAGACTCAGTGGCTTAAAAACACACCGAGTTCCTGTGCACACATGCCCAAAATCCAAAAGAAGGGAGGAATGGAGGACGAGAGATTGTAGTATGATCATACCCCATAGAGAGTGCTTTCTTGCTTTCTCTGTCTCCTTGCTTTTTCTCTTTCTCTCCCTGTCTTTCTCTGGTGAGCACACACACTCTCTGTAGCAAATTTTTTTAAAAAATAATATCGGGCCAACCGGTGATGTAGTGATTAAGGCGCTGGACCCTCACATGGCCAACAGTGGTTCAAGGCCCGACATGGTGACTTAAAGAGCACACCTGGCATGCCCAAAAATCCCTAGAGGAGAATGGAGTATTGGGAATTGTGGTGTGGCCATGCCTCCTAGGGGAGGTGATTTCTCACTTTCCCTCTCATTGTCTCTCTCTGGCAAGTACACGCTCTCTATGGCAAAACCCTAAAATTAATAAATAAATAAAATTTTAGAAACAAATATTTTTGAAATGATAAGGTCATTTTTGACATCTATTATTACAGGGAAATATTAGATTTCTGAATCATGCTCCTTTTCTTTGGATGAGAAGAAAAAGAGAAAAGGAGAAGCGCAAGCAAATAAAAAATGAAATCCCTCAATAGTAGTTCTCTAAATCAAATTTTATTTCATTTCTGTGGTGGAAAGTAGGGATATAATTCATACATATTCAATTTAGGCAATAAGCTTTTTGTATATGCCAGGACATGATTTGAAAATAATAGCTAAGAATATAGAAAATTCACTATCTTAAATAGGAACCCGAAATATTAAGTCTCCAGGCAAAATATATTGTTATGCTATAAAAATAATAATATTTTGGCTTTAAAAAATGCATCATAGTGGGACCAGCAGATGGCATGGTGGCTAAGGGACACTGGACTCCCACATGACCAACCGTGGTTCAAGTCCCATACCTGGCAGCTTGCTTTCTCACTCTCTCTTTCTCTCTTTCACTCTGTCTCTCTCTGGTCAAATTAAAATAAAATAAGTAAATTAAATAAACAAATTAAATAAAGGTAAATAAAATAATTATTTTAAAAATGCATCATAGACTAATACCAAGGATATTCCATTGAAAATAAGAATATAATTGATCTTATCCTTGCGACAGAATTTCTTTGGAAAGAATGTGAATGTGTCTATGATCTATTCTGTTTCTGAAATATCTATGTAGATCCCAATGGTCTCATTTAAAAAATGTGTATGTTTTTAATTGTAAGCTCAGGTTATTCAACTTCCAAAGCCACTCAATTGACACCTGATAGATATATGGTAAATTTATTAATTAAGTGAATTAACCTGACATACTTTTAATTTTAAAGAAAGCTCAATATTATGGCCAATGATGACACTTCAGAATGAAGATGCTCAAACAAAAATTGAATCAGACTGATTAGGAGCCAAAGAGCTGTCAAAGAAAACAAGACTGGACAGTAATCAGTGACAAAAACAGGGTTTATTCAGAAAAATTACTGTAAAAATAATACCTCAGTATATAAGAGGGCTCAAGAGAGTGGGAGCATGGTGCAACTGTAACACACAAAGCTCTGTGAGACTGACACACATGGAGAGGTTCCTGGTTTGTGTCCGGAGACCTCCGTGAGTATATTTAGGCATGTGCAAGGCTGTAATCTGGATGTGGCTAAGGCTCAACGGCAGCATTAAACCCTCTTATAGGCACTGTCTCTCTCTCTCACTCACTCACTCACTCATGGAAGAAAATAACTTAAATAGAAAAAATAGTCTTAATTCCAAATAGAATAAGGAAAAGTGGGAATTTACAGACAAGCAGCAAAGTAAGGGTCAGTAAATAGAAAATTCCTAAAATTAAAAATTGAGATAAGGGGAAATCTGGCTAAACTGATCGATCTAACAGGATTCTTGTAGAAGTCAGGCCTGGGTGATCAGACATCACTGGGCGGGTGGGGGGGGCGGGGAGATATGTTAAATAATGAGAAATCCCAGGGGATGATAGACTGTGGGGGATAAATAAATTCTTGATAATCCAACTTACCAAGATGCTAGCTGGAATTGCGCTCTACAAGGTCAGCACAGAAGTCCAGGGTTTTGAGACCTAGAAGGGGAAGAAAGGCACAGATGTATCTGATTAGTGTTTGTTAATGAGAGAAACTGTCAGTCACTGAATGTGTCAGTCACTAATTAAATAATCAGCTTGGTATATTCTGAATTTTAGTATACTCAAAAGTATGGCCAAAAATGACACTTTAAAGATGGAAATGTTCAAACGAACAAATGAAAAATGTTCAAATGTATCATCCAGAAGCCACAGACCTCAAACAATATTTAGAAGGCAACTTACCTAAGCCTGGAGCTCACACACCCAGACATGACTAAAGCTAGGTAGTTCAATGAAGACTTCAAGAGCCTCTGAACTTAGGATGCTAATGAAAAACCTATTAGCTTCACTAGGCATGCACTTTGCAATGCCACTTGTCTAACCCCAGGTTGAGTTCAGGGATACTTGTCCTTCAGTCCACCCAACATCCCACCATCATAAACCCGGTACTAACTCCAACTCTTCTGGGATTACAGTGCTTCAGCTGATAAGCACTAATAGGCAAAAGGGCTTAGTACCCCATCGAGTCCAAGTTTGAACGAGTAATGAACTTTCATTATTACTAGTCCATTGCATAACGAAATGCACAAAAGTATAATAGCCATAATGGGCTATGAGTTTGCAGTTGTCCTTCTATTAGCAATTGCCAGTGTTTCTTTTCCTTTACCTGGTCTGATGCCTTTTAGTTTTTATTTCTCTGAGTTGCCCAAGTTATAGACATTGAATCTTCAACATCAGTCAGGGTCTATATTAAATATTCAAATGGCCACTGTAGTCAAACTCAAAAAAAAAAAAATGTTCATCTGTTCAAAGATATCTTTTATCCAAAAGCAATAGACACCTCATTTCATCAAATGTAACTAAGCATATTAACCAATGCGGAAGATAAGTACCACTAAATATATATATATATATATATATATATATATATATACCCATCCTCAAAATATAATATGATGGGGACCAGCAGTTAGCGTAATGGCTATGTCGCTGGACTCCCACGTAGTCAACGGCGGGTGCCGCAGGCGGCTGCGGGTGCAGGCCCGCGCTTTCTGTCTCTCTGTCTCTCTCTGTCTGGCGAGCACACGCGCATTATAGCAAAAACCTCTCCAATAACAATAATAATATGATGATGATGAATATTTTTCCTACTATTTATTTAAGATATCTGGCTCCAATAGAGATACCAGTTACCTAAATAGAGTACTTAGGATGCAGACAGACTTTTTTCTTAGGAAAAATGATTGATTCAGAAATGTGAGAGATATAAGTGGTATATAGCTTATCTTCTTAAAAAGTCATTTTATCTGAGCCAGCCCGTGCCATGGTGGTTAAGGTGGCTGATCACACATGGTTAACTATGCAATTCACGTCCAAGGCCAGAATCTTGAAAAACATGCCAGGCATGTATGTATGTATGCTCAAAATCCCAAGAGGAGTGTAGAGAAGGGATTGTAGCATGGCCACTCACACTGGGTTGTGCTTTCTCATTTTCCATCTGTCTGTCTCTCTCTCTTTCTGTCTTTCTCTGATGAGCTCATGCAGCCTATGGGGGGAAAAAATGAAGTCACTCTCTTAGGGCCAGCAGGTGGTATGGTGGTTAAGGTGCTGGACTCCCACATGGTGAGCCATGGTTTAAGTCCTAAACCTGGAAGCTTGAAAATCATGCCAGATGCATATGCATGTGTGCCCAAAGTCCCAAGGGGAGAATGGAAGAGAAGGGATTGTGGTATTGCCATCCCTCCTGGGGAGTGACTTATCACTTTCCTTTTCTGTTTCTGTCTGTCTCTCTCCGGCAAATACACACACTCTATGACAAAAACCTAAAACAAACAAACGAAAAAGTCACTTTCTCCAATCTACCTGAACAATGCACACTTTGGGAAGCAAAATTATAACTGAAGGGTCAAGCAACCAAATGTCTTCCCAGGACAGTCATCTCACTTCCCAAGTCTAAGGCATGAGTGACTACTCTCTCTAGGCCAATTTCATTCAGGAGCTAAAGAAAAATAAAAACTCAAATCTTTCATTACCTACATGAAAGTTCCTGTGCTAAGTGAATAAAAGATTTTGAGTTACAAATTCTTATGAATAAAATGAACAAATGTTTCATTCCACAGGGATTCTTCCTTGCACATGTTGTGCAAATTCCTTTGCTCTAGATTTCTTTTAATTTTTAGCATCTCTTAATGTCTGTTCCAATGTGCAGGCTTTGCAAACCAATCTGACTATTGAATTGCTTATCTCTAATTGTCTCCAGAGTTTCCTAAATATATAAAAAATCTCACAAAAATTCTACTTATCCTCTTTTGGACCAACAGACTTCCTGTAGTTCACTTTCCTTTTACTATGGACTGGTTCTTACCTTCCATCAGACAGGAAGTTGTACGATTAGAGCATAGCTAAGAAATGAAAGACAATTGATTCTACTCTAGTATCCACAAAATACTTAACCAAATTATTTCCCTATGTACTACTTATAAATTTCATGAAAGCTATAGGGGTATGAAACATACCTTAGGAATTCTCCAAGACCCACACTCCAGCTTCTAGAACACCTAATGGCTTTTATATATTGACCTCCAAATTTAGTCTGCTCACACTGTTTGGTTATTGCCTGTGTATTTAGTAGATGAACTGAATACTACTCATCTAAAAGTCCTGACACTATGTCAGTGGTAAAGAAATTTATATTCGAGATTATTTCTTTATAAATTTATTCAGATCAAGAAACTCATTTTTTTTTCGATAGAAATAAACCACATTCATAAAACATCTGAGGTACTCATTAAAATTTCTTGCTTTCCAACACACCCGCTGATGAGGGCAAGTGGAACATAAAAATCTAGAAATAGAAAGGACTTCAATCGAAAAAAAAAAATCTGTCAAGAAATTGGTTTTAAATGGCTAAAATAATTGTTTAGGACCCGTATAAATACCTGAATTTTCAAAATAGGAGACATAGATTAATGCTTTCAAATGTTTTAGTTATACTGTGTAAATCGGCATCTTTTAAAAATTTTTTTATAGGTTTTTGCCATAAGATCTTGCTCTTGACAGAGATAGACAGAACAGACAGACAGAGACAGTGAAAATAAAAGTGAAAAATCATCCCCTGGAAGGATGGCCATGCCCCAATCTCTTCTCTTCCATTCCCCTTCTAAGATCTTGGGCATATACATACATACTCATGGCATGATTTTCTTTCCTTTTTTTTAAAAAAAAAAAAATTTATTTAACTTTTTAAAAATTTTATGTATATAATAAAATAATTAGATTAAATTAAATTAAATTAAATAATTACATCTTACATATAAAATAATAATAATAATAGTATGGCCAGAGGGAGAGAAAGAGGGAAAATGAGAGAAAGCAAGCTGCCAGGTCTGGGACTCAAGCTATGGTCCGCCATGTAGGAGGCCAGTGCCCTTAACCACCACACCACCTGCCAACCCTAGACTGGCATGATTTTTCAATTCACTGAGTTTAGTATTTGAACAGTGGTCAGCCATGTGGGAGTCCAGTGACATAACCTCTTTGCCATCTGCCAGCCTCTGCCAACTGGCATATTTAAATGTTCCATTTCTGAGTAGGGTGAACACTATAAGGACTTCAATGAACAATTTAATGTTTTTACCCTTGGGGCATATCATCAGTATGTACAGAAGGTGTGTCCTCCATCAACTGACAAACCTTGCCATCTCTTTCACCTGGAAGATCATGTGTAAATCAAGATTTTTAAAAGAAAGTATATACGGTTACCTCGTTGGGAATTACCTTAGGCAGTACTGTTTATCACCTATATTGCCACCAAGAGAAAAATCCTCCTGTATTTGCATGGGCCACACCAAACTAGACCCAGATCATTACTCACAGAACAGTTGAAAAACCGTATCTCTGCAGATGACATCATAGTAAAGATTTCCATAATGAATTCTAAGGTTCTAGAAGCAAATGATGTCATTGAGTAAGACAGCTTTTACCCAAGATTGTAGTACCAAAAAAAATTTTTGTGTTTTGTTTTGTTTTGTTTTGTTTTGTTTTCCCCCTCAAAGTTTCTCTCTTGCCTAAAGAAAGTTTTTTTTTTAATGTATTTTTAAACCAAACCTCCCCTTCTCCTCCATTAAGGGAAAATCTGACTATTGCAATCTATCCTGCTCTCCCTCTGATTCTCCACTATGGGCTCTCCCGAACTGTGTCTCTCTCTGAGTAACCTTACATAAGTAATACCACACATACATATCAGAGAAGACCGTATAGCCAGCATACCTCTGTCTCACCACCCCAGTTTCTTTTCAGGGTTGTGAAGCTGATTCCCAAGTTTTAGGCCCTGTGATTTTGAAAAGGCAGTCCTAAAACTTTCCATGAGTATAGAATACAAATTCAATACCAGGATGAAAATGTTGTTTATATTGTTTAGCCTCTCTTGTCCTCCACATTGTCATACCCTATCTACACAACAGCTCAACAAGGAGGAATTTGTGCAGTCACTGGTAAAAAGTGTTGTTTCTGTGTGACTCAGAGGAGATAAATAGCATATAATTTATACCTTTTAACAACAACAAAAAGGTGAAGGCCATACGTCAGTTCAATTAGGCCCAAACATTTTATTGGACCGGCCAGTTTTTCAAGTTGGGAGACTGATTTAGTGCATTAAGGGGACTGTGTTTAGATTTGTTCTTTTCCACTTAGTTAGTTTCATCTTAGTCTACATTTTTTCTTGTTCTTTACAAATCTCTATTTATCAACTCAACTCTTCTCTCCACAGCCATCTAATCAACTTTATTATCAGAAACATACTGTGAAGGTTCAGATGGGGAAAATGAAGGAGCTCAGAATATACCAACATAAAATAAAACACTTTGGGGTCTCTCTGACCTTCCTCTTTCTGTCTAAAGCAAAACATAAAATTTCCCATCTGAAAGATGGCCTCATAGGGTAGGAAATGGGGAAAATTCTCACCACTAGAGCCTGAAAGTCAAAATTGAAAATGGATGGTTGCAAACAAAGCTATTAAAGAAACCCTTATCTTTTACTAGGTCCCCCATATATTTCCTAGTGCAGGACAATTGCAGTTCAAATCCCAGTTTCGGTGGTTTAAAAATAAATGGGGCACACACACACATGTGTGTCCAAAGTCCTAGAGGAATGAAGGTACAAAGACTGTCCGTGATCATGCCCTATTGGGAGGGTTCTCTCCCTGTCTCTTGCATGGATGGGCAGACAAATACATGTGCCCACTCACATTTTAAAAAATGTCTAGAAAATGAAATACCATTCCTCAGTAAAAAACTTTCTTTAAATATTGTCATATAGTGTACAGTAGTATGATGTTGTCACTACAAAGATGGACTGATAATAGTGCTGGTACATACCTATGGTTCCAGCTACTCAGAAACTGAAGTAGGAAGATCACAACACAATCAGTCCCTACCTAAAAAATAAATCTATGGCTAACAGGTGGCATGTGGTTAAGCCACTGGACACCACAAGGCTGACTGTGGTTCAAGTCCTGAGACCAGTAGCTTGAAGAACACACTGGGCACACATGAATGCTTGTGTGGCCAAAATCCAGAGAGGAGATGAGGAAGAGGATTGTGGAGTGGCCATCTCCCAGGGGTGGGGGGTGGGGTGATTTCTCTCTCTCTTTCTCTCTCCCTCTGGCAAATACATGCTCTAGAGCAAAAAAATCTAAAATAAAACAAACAAAAACAAAAAAATAAATTCTAAAGTTGTACTGATATGGACAGTCACTCAAAACATCTTGTCCTGGGAAAGAGAAAGCTATTGAACATTCTAGACACTAGGGCTTTTTTGTAAATGTGTAATCATACACATTTGTTTCCATATTCCTAGGAAATTGCCAGAAATATACACCAAAAAGAAAACTCTAATCAAGAATTATCACTGCCAGAGGGAGGAAAAAAGGGGCTACTACTTTGTATTATTTTGTATTATTTTACCATTACCATCAATGACTTTATAAGAATAAAAAAGATTTTGCACTAACAAAATTTAAAACACTATTACAAGGGTTTTCATTTTTAAAAATGTATTGGAGTTTAAAAATGTATTATAATAATTTGAATTGTTTCTATTGCTGTTCTAGCGCCATCACAATACAGATATTAAACAAAGCTTCGATATCAAGAAATGAGATCTGTAACAAATAAAAACTTTTTTGCATCCTTCACAGGGATATTAATGCCTCAAAGAGCTTACTTTACAATCTAAATTACTTTAACTTTGTCATAATCTGAGAGTAACAGCAGAATGTGAAAATGGTATATCTCAAACAGTATCAACAATTTTGCAGTGTCATCTCTTTTAGTTTCTAAAAGGTGGTTTGGGATGGGGTGAGGAGGGGGTGGTAGTAACATTTGCATTTGCACAAGTCAGACCAGGTAAGGCTTTGGTTGTAAGGATGTACATTGCTCTTGGTTATAAGAAAGCTGAAGATTAATTGTGTCTACACCAAATGTTCCTTGAAATCCTGTGCAACAGATCCAGAGAGAGCAAAGAATTCTAGTTCCTATACTTTTTCTCTTCTCTCCACTTATTTTCTCCTTTTCCAATCATCCTTCTTCCTATTTCGCTCTTGAGTATAAGCAGAAAAGAAGAGAGAAATATCAAGGTTCTCTAAATTTTGATGGGTTTTATTGATACGTTTTTCAGTTTTAAATTTTAAAATTAAAATTTCCATGTACAATTTTAATTTTGTCTAAGTGTTAATTGTGTTCAGAATAAGTGTGTGGAAACAATCCTAGCAGTTCTACAACTGAAACGGAATACTGATAGGTAAGATGAGTAGTCCTGGAATACAAATCCTGAGTGCATGGTTGAGGATTTATACATTTCAGTGTTACCAAATTCAAAGGAAAGCACCGTTTACTAGGTATAGTAATCTGGAAAGAATATTCCAAAAGTGACCTTTCAGAAAGAGAAGTTCCTTCCATAGAGTTAATTAGTCTAAAAAGAATACTTCAAAGTGGACATATCGTTTATTTCAGTTACTATGTAGAATTATGAATTCAACATAGCAGAGTTCATGATGAAATATGAAATATTAACAAATATGAAATCTCTGTTTGCCCATTACTTTGGATCAGTCAGGCAAAATTTTGTAAAGAATAAGATCATTGGGAACCAGCAGTTAGCGTAATGGCTATGTCGCTGGACTCCCACGTAGTCGACCGTGGTTCACGTCCCGGACCCGGTGGCTTAAAACTCACACCGGGCGCGTGTGCGTGCGTGCCCAAGATCCCGAGAGGAGAATGGAGGAGAAGGGATTGCGGCGTGACCATCCCCCCTGGGGGGTGATTTCTCGCTTTCTGTCTCTATGTCTCTCTCTGTCTGTCTGGCGAGCGCACGCGCCCTACAGTGAAAATCTCTCCAAAAAAAAAAAAAGAATAAGATCATTGCCAACAAGTACTCAAAAGAACAGAGGAGGATCTGGGGGCATGACGTGGCAGGGTAGCATTTCCAAAGTCTGGAATAATTTCAAAGAAAATGTTTCAAAATAAATGCTCTACTGGAAAAGAGAAAATAAACTCATCCATGGTAGATACCAACTGAATTACAAACGTATGACATTCACTTTAAATCAATAGCAATTATCCTCTATTGCAACATCTTTCCACCTTCTGGAGTTATGTTATAGGATCCCATGCTTATGCTGTGCTTTGACCAAGCTTGCCTGGGACAAAGGTGAAAAAACAACATAGCCCGGAACTCAGACTTGTCCATTATCAGTGTAAAGTACATGCTGGTTGGGGCCAGCAGGTGGTATGGTGGTTGAGGAGCTGGACTCCCACATGGCTGACCACACTTCCAGTCACAGATGTGGTGGCTTATTTTCCCACTCTCCCTCTTCCTCTGTCTCTGTCTCCTTCTGGAGAGCGCAGTTAATTTATAGCGAATTAAAATAATCATCATCATAATAATAATAAATAAAATTAAATAAATAATTCTTTTTTTAAAGTATATATCAGTTAATGCTCTGACAAACCTTTAATATCTTTAATATCTAACCTTTAGTATCTTTCACAAAACAATATGTGTCTACCTGTCCTTTTCATCTCTAGTAGATTAGATGCTGCCTAAAGACCACTATTATTTTGCCAGTAGTCAATAAGCAGAAAAAAGGTTCAGAAGATGTTATTTTTAATAACTGCATCATTACTAAATCAAGGTCTTCATTTTGGAACTATTTCTGGTTTTGTGGATATCTAGTCTTCATTTTGTCCTACTCATACATATTGGCTATGATTTTCCTGTTGGTCAGCCTAGGTTAGTAGACTGCTCGAATAGATTAAGAATACAACAAAGACTTTCTAAAATACTACTTCTCATTTCTTCATCACTGCTGAATAAATATCTTTAAATAATTTTCATAATCTGTTAGTGACTGTCTGCTTTCTTTTTAACAATACTGAATATGTCTTCTACAAACCTTAGGGTTGAGATTATTCTCCTTCAAATTAATTTTTTAATTGCTTCATAAATGCTAATATCTTCCCCAATTACTTTGGAACTAAGCCCTCTACTGTATTGAGGGTACAGGTTTTGTAAGGTATTAGACAGTTAGGGGAACAGAATGTATCCAGCAAACTAATTCTGTATCATTTTAAAGCCAAATTACCAGTTCCTTTAGTGTTCTGTGTTTAATGAACTGGATGAATCTGTTCTTTACTCATTCAATTTTTACACTATAGGCTTATACCACATTCCATGGGGAATTTTTGTTCCTGTCATCCTTGTCTGAATGCAAATTCCAGGGGAGCAGCGACCTGTTATTACACTTTGTACCTCAGATCCTAGCATGATACCTGGAAAAAATACTTGAACTAAATGAAAATATAACATTTCCCACGCAGTCTACTCATACACAAAGTTGTCCA